GGGCCCCCCCCCCCCCCCAAATCAGGAAATGTGGTGGTAGGGGAACTGTGGCAATAAATATGGCCACCCTCCCCCAGCTGCCAAATTCCCAAATGCCGGGCAACAGGTTGGGGCTAGGCCACACACCTTCCCCTGTGGTTGGCTAGGACTGGGCTATAACCCCTTCCCCCACATTGGACAAGTTCAAGTCCCCTTTCCCTTGTGGGGCTGGGTTGGGACCAGGGCAAGACATGCCACCTATCCTCCCCCTCCCTGCAGCAGGGCCAGGCCAGGCCATGCCCCCTTCCCCACCCTCCCAGACAGGGCCAGGCTGGAGCCAGGATGGCCCCTGCCCCACTCCATGTGGCCAGATGGGGCCTGCCATGATCACTCAATGCCAGATTAGGCCCATCAGCCAGATCCAGCCCACAGATGGCCTAGGCACTGCCCATCCAGCCCACCAGCCAAAAAGGTTGAACACCAGTGGTCTAGTTCACTCCCCCATGTGCAGGCTTCTACATATTTCATAGATGTTTCTGGCCTATAAAAGCTGTGAACTAATTCTGAGCTTTATTATGGTCTGTTCTGAGGTGTGCACGTAGTCGCCGCCAGCATGGAGCCGATGCCAGAGCTGTGGAGTCCGGTGCAGCTGTTTGCAGCCTGCCCGCTGCTTGCTGCAGCTGCTGAGAGCCCAGGCTGGCTACAAACAGCTGCGCCGGGCTCCGGAGCCTAGTCACCAGCTCTGTGCCGGAAGCGGGTGAGAGACCAGGGCTGTGCTGCCTCAGGCCCCCTCCCCCACTGCCCGCTCCGAGGTGTGTATGCACATACCTGTACAGAGCTGATGCCTGGGCTCTGAAGCCCAGCACAGCTGTTTGCAGCCTTCTGGCTGCAGCAGGCCCCAGCTCTGGGTAGCTGCTGCCAGCTGGGAGCCTGGGCTGCTCCCAGCAGGCAGCTGGGACACTGCAAGCCCTACTGGCAGCATCCTGACCTCTCTCGCTGGCAGCAGTTACCCTGGTCATGGCATGCCGAGCAAAATGGCCTCGTGTGCCATGCCCGGCATGCGTGTTGGGGGGGGGTTGCTGACCCCTGGTTTAAAACATGTGGACTTAAAACAGCCAATAAACAGAGATTTGTATGCCAGATGTTTCATGGCATGTATACTGAGAAGAATTCTAATATAATAAAAGGCTCAGTCTGTCTCTCTGTGTGTTCATAGCGCTTCTGGCCAATTGCACATGCACTGCCAAGAAGGCAGGCAGCAACTGGCTGCTCGGGCCCAAGTTTGCACCACTGTTGGGGAAGTTTGGCAGCAGTCAACATGCCCTGGCTGCCTGAAGAGCAGGGCTTCCCCATGCCTCCCTGCCTGAGGGTGAAGGTGTGGGGATCACGGTGGAGGCACCCCCTCCCCACTGCCTGGCCTGGACTCCCCCAAGAACAGCTGGCAGGGGGGGAAGGAGGGAGGGGAGTGGGAAGGTAGGTGGACATGGGCCAGGCAGACCCCAAGTGGTGGGGGGGAGGGGAGCGGGGCCAGACCCAAAGTGGCAGGAGGGGCAGGGGGGAGCAGGGTCAGACCCAAAG